CAAAGAAATCTCACTATCAACTTTAACACCTAATTTAAAAAATGAAAATTTTATTCAATCAAAGATGTCCTATTACACTCCCTATATTATTTATTTATAAATTTTTTACCCTTTATGTCAACAGATATTGTTGTTCATAAGATTAACCCATTTCACTTCAAATAGCCATGATATTCAAACTTGATTTTGTTTAAAATCCACAAGTTGACAAATCATTAGATGACACCATTTAAGGTTTACATCATCAAATCACTAATGCCCATAGGTTCATGTAGTTAACAGTCTCCTATTTTTGATAACAAATTGATGTTGATAGAAATGGATAAAATTAATAAATATTTTTGAACTGAGTTGGCTATCAATAGACTTATGAAGTGAACTCTACTGCCCACTTAAATACTTTGGAGTTGTTTCATTCATTGTAAAATAAACCGATGAATTTTGTTTTCTTTTTGTTTGGTTTGAAATAAAATTAAAATAATGTATTTTTAATCTATAAATTAACGTGTTGGCGGCGGCGGGCTGGCGAAAGCAGTAGCGGGGCGGCCGACAGCGACCTGTGACTAGGGTGGCAGCGGGCAGTAAGGTGGCAGGGACAGCAGCTGTGGCATGCGGTGGGGTTGGCAACATAGGAGGAGCAACAGCCGGAAATGACTACAGGCGGCTGGCAGCTGCAATTTACATTAAGGTGTGAATTTGAAAATTCGCTGTCAGCGGAAATGACTACAGGCGGCTGGCAGCTGCAATTTACATTAAGGTGTGAATTTGAAAATTCGCTGAATCGGAAAAATTTCAAATACAAAAAAATGAACTAAGATTTGAATTTCAAATGCATTGCTATTTTACATTGAATTTCTAATTCTTCCAAACAAACAGTTGAATTTCCAAACTTCTTATATTACTATAATAAAAAAAACTATTGAAGAACCTAAAAAAACTGTTGAATGAACAAATGCCAAATTAAAACAAACGATAGCCTAAATAAAATTTTGAATACTAATATTAATCACATAAGCTTGATTACACCATATATGCATTACTTGATCTCCAAAGTTACTTCTAAAAATGAAATCATATAATTCTAATTATGTAGGGATCTAAGTATGGAAGGAAGTAGAATGCATACATGAACCTTTGACATGTAATTCAGTGTATGCTACCTAGTATTTATTGTCTATAATGAAATTAATTGAATTTTTAATTTAAAATTAAATGATTATAAAATAATGTCAAATATTAATTTTGCTTGTGGTATTATAATTTTATCAACTAAAAAATTTAGTCTTTTTAAAATAATTAAATTGTTTAGAAGCATAGTTTATGTGAGATTATCAAAATTAATTCTATTTATGCTATAAACTAAAAATCATTCATTCAGAAAGATTAAATCATCAAAAGCATAAAAATTAGCTAGCATTTATCAGCTAATTTTATTCAAGGAGCAAAGTTATTTAAAGATTTTAATTATTTTCTAGAGTTGTACTTTTTTAAATTCTGGTTGCAAGTTCTTACAATTTCATAATTCACAGAAATCGTACTGCTAATGTTGCTTTATGGCCTTAAACTTGACTGCCAGCTTTAATACCAAAGGATGTGAGTGAAATGAAATGGTAAAAAAGTTCATGTTTTCAAGCATATTTCATCATTGACTACACTAATTATCATAAATACTCTAATTTGAAACATGACCTCATAGCTACGATTCAGCGGATTTTCTATCCCATATGATGAAATTTGTTACAAAGTTTTTTAATCAATACAAGAATACTGAGGATTGAATTGTGGCAAAAGGGTTAAACTTTGAAATTTTCACATTATTTATACATTTGTGTAAAAAGGCACTAAAAAAAAGGAATTGTTTGAACAAATTTCCCGATAGAAAGTTCTGGCATCATGTGGGGCCACTGGATGCATGAGAAAAAAAGCTCTAGTATAACATGATGAGATGAGGCGATCGATGCACAAGAAAGCTAGTGCTGGAGGGCTTGCTATTTGATGATAATCACCCGTAAAAGCTTAATGTATTCAGATGGATCTGTCTTTGTGTATGAGAAGCTTTGGTATATTAATGGAGGAAATTTAATTAGCTCCCTTTTTTTTTGTATGTTTATTATTATTATTATAACAATTCTCTCATATTATTGTGGTATTTTGTGGCTTATTTCAGCCAATTATGGTTTTGATTTTCTAATTCTCAGCCATTCACTTTAGTTAAGGGTTTGACTTGCATATTTTAGTTAACGTTTTATATACTTCTTGGCATGTTATATTTTGGCAACAATGTAAAATTATGTTTCATTTGTGTGCATTTTATGTCTCAACATGTCTTCTATGGTAAAGTTTAAATTTATTATTGTTTTTGTACACTTTGTTTTTAAATTCTTTATTTATGTAGTCGCTATAAAATAAAAAAGACAGTTTCTTTGACAAAAAGACATGCTCCATGTTTTAGAAGCTGTACTGCATGAAAAGCTAGCCAAACTGGGAATCATTTGTAGTGAATGAAATTTCCTGCATTTTTTTCTTTTTCGGGAAATTTGAGCAAATTTAAACATAAACATATGCATACCGAATATATGAGACCTTGAACTCAGAATCTTTTGATTGAAAGCTTAAGCTTTCAGCCTACAAGCTAAGGCAGCTTGCAAGGCATTATAATCTTCTTTCTTCCAAGTTCTTAAAGTTATCTAGTGTAGCTAGCCAATGGATTTTGCTATCCCTAAACTCTGCTCTTTTTAGTTTTTATTTGGGGGTGGCTAGAGATTATGTTTAAGTTATTTTAGAACTGATACAAGAAAAATAGATTTTGGAAAGCTATTGTGATTATTATAATTTTTTTTCTCTTCTAAAAAGTATAGCTGTTTTCTTATAGCTATGACTAGCATATTTGGTTATAAAATTTTGAAAAGCAATGAGAAAGTTATTGCTTAATAGGTTTGCTGCTCTTTGAAAAGCAAAATTATGAGAAAGGTGATCCAAATGAACTAGTGTGTCTATGTGAATTGGTAGGGGTGTCATATGGGCGAGGTTGGTCATTTAGGCTCTGTTTGGCGCAACTGCAGTTTCTCAGCTTTTCAGTTGCAGTTGCGTTGCCCCAGGAAGCTGCTGCGAGGAAGCTGCTCCGAGGAAGCAGCTGCGGGGAAGCTGGCTGTCTCTTTGGTGTTGTTGTGTGAAACCAGCTGTCGGGCAACTATTTATGGACAAAAGACTATACTACCCCTGTTTGGTAAAACTGTTTAAAAGTGGAGTATAACAATCATTTTTTTGGAACTTCAGTAAGCCCCCAAACTGCTAACAACTTCTGTTTAGGAATAAGAACACATATGTAACACAATCTTACGTATTTACATATCTAACACATAAACTTTGAAGTTTTACGAATATTTACATATTATTTTAAATATTTGCATATTATTTTTGGAGGTCTTACGAAAGAATTGAGTCGCATAAAATTAATGAAGTTAAATGTAGTGTTTGATATGTAAATATGTGAAATTAATTATGGTTAAGGAATAAAATTGAAGTTCTGATCAGTTCCCGGATGTTAACTACAGTGTTAAAGAACTATTACAAAATCCCCCACCCATTAGGTTCTTTTCAAATGGAAATCTTCCATCAATCGGTTGGATCAGGCCGAAAGCCAGAGCAGGCAGATCCAACAGGAAAAGCGTGAGAAGGGAGAAACGAGACAGAGAAACTCCAGATCCATAAAAAATAACAGGAAAGAATGAAAATGACAGAAACAAGAAAGAAATAAGGAGGAAAAACCATCAGATCCGCAAAAACGCCAAAAAATAACGCCAAAAAATTTTGTTCAATTTTTTTTCTTCAGTAACCGAATTCGGTCGTTCTAGGTTAGGGAAGAAGAAGTGCAGGGATTCGCGAAAGAGACAGCGGGGAAGTAGCTAGGGTAGAAGAAAAAAATGCGGGGCAAAAGGTAATATTTACAGTGCGAACGCAATGCCGCAGGCCCACTTTCCGCCAGCTTTGTCGACGCTGGGCCCCGAAGCTGGTAACCAAACACGCAAATTTCAGCGGGGAAGTAGCTAGCATTCCTCCACTTCAACCACAACCAACTTGAATTCTACTATTAACATCCCCATCTATATCACCATCATTTTGAACAATATACCCGAGACATCTAAAGCATTCACACTTTTTAATAATTTGATAGCCCATAGGTACAACTCTGTGACTAGATCTACTACTACTAAAATTACATTCAATGTACTCAGTTTTAGTTCTATTCAAACGAAGACCTTTAGACTCCAATGTAGACCTTCATTTTTTCTGAGCTTCTTCTCTAGTCTTATCCACAAGAAGGATATCATCAATGAAAATCATACACTAAGGTGCATCCTCCTGTAAATGTCCAGTAAGGGCATATCCATAACTAAAGCAAAAAGACATGGGCTTAAGGCGGATCCCTAATGTAATCCAACAAAAATAGTAAAATATTTGGTCAATCCTCCTGTTCAAACATAAGCAACAACTTTAGTATACATATCTTTAATGACTTGAATATAGGTCATGACTTGAATATAGTTGAATATAGGTCATATCAACACCTTTCTTTTTTAGAACTCTCCAAAGAGAATCTCTTGGAGCCTTGTAGAAAATAATTATCATGCAGATTGAATAGTCTTCTTCCTAACCATTTACTTTTAGGGACGTTTACATACATGCCACCCAATTCCTATCTATTTACATATCCAATACCTTATACCACCCAAATCATTCATATCACATAAAAAATATCACTTTCTTAACTTTTAAAAAGTGAGATACACCTTTTTCATTCATAGGAAAGGTGATACATATGTAAAAATTGAAGTTTAGATGTTAGATATGTAAATACATACAAATTGAGTAGTATTTATGTAAATTTTCCTTACTCTTTTTATAATCCATTTTTTTTTTTAAATAGCTTTTCAAGTTGAAAACTTGGGAATATTTGTGTAAATAAATACTAACCATCCACTATTTATTTTTTTTGGCAGGGATGACTCTGTTTTTGATGATTCCCAGCAAGCTAAAAACCTGAATCCTGGAAGTGCTAATATCGGAAGCCTTTTCTCAAGAGGGCCAGATTCACCTTCTGTCTGGTCTTTCACTAAATAGCAATAGAAATAAAACTATTAACACCATTGTCTCCTGAAGGCAAGCTTCCTTTTTGCCTCTTTAACAAGAGTTCAGGAATCACAAGGCAAACCTAGCTGCAATGTATCCGTCATTTGTGTAAATCATATAACAATTTCATTCAAGCCGGAATAGATGGAATGCATGCATTCTTGCGACATTGGTAGCTAAATATAACTTTTTTTCTCAAATATTTTTGCAGGCTTCTTCATCTATCTGCTATAGTTTCTTAGCAACCTTTTATTAAACTTGACAGTTTTCTTACTTAAGATTTGCTTCGCTCAATTTTTATAGGAAGATTTACATGCATACCTCTTAATTCTCATGTATGTACATATCTATTATTTTAAATTGAGTTTTTTACATATTTGCCGCCTTATCTATGCATGTAAATGCGCATTTCACTTTTTAAAAGCTAAAAATAGTGATATTTTTCCTGTGATATGAATGATTTGGGTGGTATTAATGCAAAGAGTAATGTTAAGGCGTTAATTATGTAAATATATAGGAATTGGGGGGTATGTATGTAAATGCCCCTTTTTTGGGGGCATTGTGACTTCCTTACATTGAAATTGAAAAGAGTATATTATTGTATTTATTTTTTTTCATCTCATCTAAAATTTTCTAGGGGCTTCTTTTTGGGGGCTTAGGATAATGAGCGCAGAATTTTACAGAGGGGTTTGTAAAAAAGTTTGTATGCGGTGTTCGATCATGATCGTAAAAAATTTTAAAGTGAGCTTCATTCTAACAAAAAAACAAAAAAATATATATATTTTAGTGGTTCAGATCGGATGCCGTACGCAAATTTGTGTGATGTCGGTATCTAATAAGCGTTCCTTACAACTGTATTCCGGTGTTTTATATATATTTCATTTTAGTTATGCGTGAAAAATTATATTTTATTTTTTAAAATTTAAAAGTGGTATTATTTTATTTGCTATTAATTATTTGCGTGGTATAAATGTAAAAATTAGAATTTAGGTGTTAATATGTAATTACATAGAAATTCGACGGTATATAAATGAGCCATATTATTATTATTATTTTCGGTTATTCCTGCTTCTTTCTGCTTTCAATTTCCATTCAATGTGCTGTACAGCCTTCGGTCACTTCTACTTTCCGCTCGTATTATTATGCACCTGCGGGTCAGTACATTTTCACATTGGCAGTCAAAATATTGCATTAATATCAGGCTAGGTGAAATGAATTTTGATCTAAACTAATTAATCATATGCCACCTTTTATTTTGTTTTTGATCATATATCAGCTTTTATCTTTCATCATGTGCTATATTTGCTGTTGTTATAAGTGCATGGGATTTGAAGTGTTGGCTAATGATAATACCCCACAAATATTAATCATCAGAAGTTAGATACTGGTGAAACATTGTTATTTACAAATTTAGCATTTTCTCTCATTCATTTTTTTTTTCAATTTTTCACCCAAATATTAAAATTCATTATAAAATTTTAACCCATACTTTTCACTTTTATCAAATTTTCAATGATTTGATTGTGGCGCATGTAAATGGATCGGTTCTGTAGTTCAATAAAAATCACGTAAGTTAGTTTTGTAAATAGCAATATTTTGAGTGTTTTATATGTAGTTGTCCCTCATCTCTCATGGCTATATATCTTTTTGCTTTCTCTTGCCATAACTTTTTGGAATGTTACGAGTTTGAATGAGTTTATGGTACAAAATTTTATTGATGCAGAGATGCGCCTTTGGTCGTGGTGCCTCATGCATTACGTTAAAGATGCACTTGCCACTATATATATCTTTCTTGGAGTGTCGGGAAGGCTGTTATTATGATAATAACAAGAGGACAATAGTGAAAATAGTGAATGTAAAGTGTACGAAAGAAAAACACTAGTAGTTGTAAGAAAATGTAGAAGAGCAAAATAACAAATAAATTGGACTTATGTGAGATTTAGGAACTCAACTATAATGTCTCACCTATTTTTGGTGCACTATAAACTCAAGTTCAATGAAAATGACATGTCATTCCCAACTTGTAGGTGTAGATATACACCCATGAAATAATTCTATTTTAAGAAATCACCAAAACATCACATCATTTCACAAAGACTTCACGATCTAGAAGTAAGATGCTAAATCATAAAGATCTGTGGTTCATATGATGAAGGCCCATAACTAGTTGGCCAGAAATCCCACAAGATTGGTTGGTATGATGAAGGTTTATAACTAGTTGGCTAGGAATCTTGCAAGAAATAAATCCTTATTATTGTCTGAGTGTGATATCCTAAATTTGAAAAAGGATCGTTTGAAGAGAGAAATGAGTGAGGATCATAAAGGGAGGAAGGATATTGAACTAATTAAGAAAATAGTTGAGTATAGTTTGTGAGGTGCCTTTTGACATATCAGATGAATTTTCTTTAAAAATTTCATAGTTCTGTGTTCTTCTAACAGAGCACTTATAGGATATGTTATCACTTAGTAAATTATAAATGTCATTTAATGCTCAAGAAACCATCAATTTAATGCATTATTTGGGTGGCTATGACACCTTAAACTCATACGATCGACTATGAACTAATGCACTCAGTAAAGATAATGACTTCATACGTACACACTAGGGTCATCCCAATAGGATGACCTAGATTACTAATAATAGCTTACACCATTAAGACAAATACACACTAACTCACATTCAAAAACTAGCAAATAAGAATAATGAGTATGTAGCTTGAAGGATTTTTTTTCTCATTAAAAATAGACAATGGAGTACCCTTAAAAAAATTAAATATACAACATATATAGAAAGAATGTCATGTAAATTCCATCATAAACTATAAACATAACTCATATTTTATTTAGATATTAGTATCTAATACATTTGCTCAATTAAAAATGCTACTTTTTTAATTACTAAGGCTGACTTGGTCCTAAACCGATGTCGCCATCAAGAACAACTCTATATAGGAAAAAGATTGGTTTAGTGAGCTCTTCTACATGTTGGCGCTCTATCCTTTTCAAATGGCAATGCATGAAATCTTCTTTAGCAAGGAATTGATTTAACTTGAACAGTTTCAGGATATGAAAATTGAGGATGATCGTGGTATTCTAGCTATGAGACTTCTCACTGAAGAAGATGACTCTCTCACTCAACAAGTATGGGGCATCCCTCTAGAGCAACTAGGCTCTCTCCAGCTGCCTCCATCCTTAATGATTGCTTTAGCAATTTGCCTTAACCAACTACAATTGCTTTTGTTGGGCAGATTATGCCATTATTAGTTGTGTATTTTCACTGACATCTCTTCTAGCGTTTAGCTAAGCTATTTATACCAGTTGAATCTTTAGGCACAACTGACAAATTGTAGGAAGAGGCGTACTACTCTCATGTTTTGGGACAATGGGCCACATGCACATGAAAAAAATCAGCGGAAATCTCCTCTATTCACCTAAGTGGCGTTGATGAGCTCACATCTTCACTTTTTACAAAATTCACACCTCAAGCAATAACTTAGGTGACTCGCGCTCTCATAAACTTAGTAAGTTACTCTCCCAATTGATAGCAATGATGAGGATGACTTTTTCCTAACCTTGGTTGTGACCTAGCATAAAGGAATAATTTATATGCTACTTAATAAATGGCAAGAAAAAGATGGCACTAAGAGATAATCACCCTCAATAATGAGTTTCTTAGTGGATGACACTTTGATCACAAGGCAATTTTTTTTTATCAAAATGAGCTCATCTACCTTGACCATTTTCTAATTAAGAAATATAATATTTAAAAAATATCATGAGAAATAATAAAAACTTAATTTCAATAAAATCACAAACTCTAACTCCACCACAACTTCCTTTTTTAGGATGGCAACACATGTATATGTGCCAAAGAAGAATATATTGGAATGCCTTTATATAAATGTTAGTCTACCTTTACTCTCTTTATATCATCTGGATTAATCATGACCAATTTTTACTTCTTCTCAAAGTGATCCAACTTTCTTCTCATGAGCATTTATAGCAAAACCTCTTCATCAATTTCATAGCTGATGACACTTTGACCGCAAGACAATTTTTTTATTATTATTAAAATGAGCTCATATACCTAGGTCATCTTCTAATTAAGAATTATAATATTTAAATAATATCATGAGAAAGAAATAAAAACTTAATTTCAAACAAATCACAAAGCTAAACTCCACCACAACTTCCTTCTTTGAGATGGCAGCACATGTATATGTGCCAAAGAATACTATAATTGGATTCACTTTATATAAATGTGTCTACCTTTACTTTCTTTATTTCAAAAGGATTAATCATGGAAAATTTTTTACTTCTTCTTGAGGTGGACCAACTATTTTCTCATTAACATTGTTGGCATAACCTCCTCATCGGTGATGTCAAAGTCGCTAAATTCTATCTCACCCATTTCTAGATTTATAATGGTGACAGAGAAAAAGATAAGCATTACAGGAAACCCTTCCCACACAAAGGGTAAGGTAATTTATATAATATTAGTCCACTTTGATGTGGTCAAAATTATTGTAGGTGTAAAATATGAACAATATTTCATATTTAGTTTTCTTAAATTCATCCACCTACTATTTGAAACATTTTTAATGCCAACTATTACACTAATGAGTCTCAAAAACAATATAGCAAAGTTGATAGATAGAATCAAATTTTTTCCTTAAGGATAAGCATGTTATAAGCATTATTTTTTACATAGTGATTAATTTTTCTCATCATCACTTTCTTTTTGAAAATTTCTTCCAAAAATAAAAGAAAATTAGAAAAAAAATATGTGGACCAGCTCAAAGGAGTGGGAAAAAAATGTCCTTGACAAATTGGGCTTAGTATTTACTTGTCAAATAGGCTCAACATAAACTAATTAGTTGAGTTAAGGGTTGGACATTTCCAAGTTGAACTTAACAACATATTTATTAGCCAAGATTCAGGAGAATTCACCTAATTGAGTTTATGACCTGGAGCTACACCTAGTGAAGTGAATCCTCATAGCCACCAAAGAAAAACATTCACATGGCTCAAGGATGATCGCATCTCCATTTGCACCAGAATCAACATATCATCCCTACATTATAGGTTATATACAAACACACAGACCACTTAGTTAACATCATTGGGAGACTTAAAGACTCCACAAGATATTGAATGGTAGTCTAAGTCGTACATGTATTTGACTCCTTCAAGTACCCCACTCCTATCACTCTAATTTTTCTTT